GCATTTTTTCAAAAAATTTGCATTTGTCATTTTTTCACAAAGCGAGCATTTACCGAAAAAACGGCCTCATGCAAAAAACCGGTAATCATGCATCTGGATGTCCGTGCCACTCTATAATACACCGCCTTCATCCCAACTGACGCCCTTCCTACTGCAAGCCGGAAAAGATCAAAGCACGGCCAATACGAGCCCAATTGTTAGGCTACAGCGTAGGGATCATTCTTGTTAATAATGATCTGCGAGTGTAGTGCAAAAACGCATGATCGCACCGGAGAGCCTGGTGCGTTTCAGCCTGGGTTTTCTACTTGGTAAGGCGCCTTATCACAAACCGGGAGGAAGAGCTACGCTCAAGATGAGACAGTGGTGCTTCATATACACCAAAAAATCTCAAAACAGTTCATCAAATGCTTCTTCTATGCGGAGTGCCATCAAGCTGATAATCCCTCCAAACGATAAAACGAACATTAAAATCGTAGACTATTTGCCAATCAATGCAGCATTCTATGCAAATGGAAAAGCTACCAGCCGCATAGTTTTAGAACCCATCGTAAATTATAACAAATTTTTGGACATCTGAAGTAATGCAGTTTTGGAGAGTGTGAGAAGCCAAACAATGTAGCTACGCAGGCATTAGTCAGAGGAGAGGGTCTGGTTTGAAATTCCTTTATAATTAGTTGGCTGGTTTTGTTGGTTACTTGCTACCAAACCTGCTTACGAACCAGAATTTGCGCAAAGTTAGGATTTCCATGACATCATGCCGGGCTACAAACCTGAAATCCGTATAATTCTTTGGAGGGTGAACTTATCGTTTTCACAGTTGAATGACTCTTATTAGTTAATAAGAGTGCAGTCTCACTAATTGGTACCAACGTAAACTTTTATTAAATTTGTGAGGCACGTTTATCGAGCAATTATTTACTAGAGATGTGCAGTCCAAGAGGGTTTGACATTGCTGCGCCTGGCATTTGGTAGCATCCTAGTAAAATGATAGTGTTTTGTATTAACAATAATACATATAAGCTATAAAAGCTTAAATAATGGTCAAATGAACAGGAATGTTTTGGTCTATTAAGTCAGATAAGTTCAAAGATGAAAAGGAATGCTTCGGCCTAGTTATCCGTACTAACTACTGAGGCCGACATGGTATTTTTGATTTTACATTAGCCTTAGTTTATTTGTGGAAGTTCTTCTGAAAAGTGGATTTATTGGCGGTCTTGTTTCAGATTGTTGTTGATCGTTTAATGCTGCTGCGTGAGGAGTTAAAGAAGGATGAAGCAGCGCACGGTGCAAGAATGACTTTTATGCCGATGATAATTAAGGCAGTTTCGCTGGCACTCACTCGATTTCCTAGATTAAATGCAGTTGCTGATGAAAACTTTCAAAATATCATTTATAAAGTAAGCTTTCTGTTTATTTCTGTGTCAACAGAAGTAGACGTTGATAAGTCAATTGGACTGTGTTTTCAAAGCGAGTTATCGCGATGTTCGAGATTCCGAAATCTCGAGTTTTTAGTTCTTTAGAAGAATCTGGATCGACTGATTTGAAGTGAGTCTGAAATGCCAATTTCTACTTTTTCTTTTTGTAAAAGGCATCGAAGTATGAAATTCATGGATTTCGTTTTGAATTTTAATCTCAGCTTACATTTGGATCGTGATTTTTTCCAGTACACACATGCATACACACATATTAACGTAAACGCTAGTAAAGCACGCACACAGGCACAAACATACATGCACCTACGCAAATACGCACACACACATACATACATACATACAGACGTGCATACAAGAATAAGTAAGTATTTGATTTATACTAGAATGTTTTACAAATTTCGGTTGTAACTTCTTTTATACGATACCCTTAACCCTCCTTTTCTTGCATCTTTACCCTCCTTCATCCCTATTCACCCGTCGTTACCCTCTTTCCTTACTCCCCTCCCTAACGTAATTGTTTTTTTTTTTGCGTTAATACGTGTTTTTTTCAGGCGTCGCATAATATCTCCATAGCAATGGATACACCAGACGGGCTTGTAGTTCCTAATATCAAGCACTGCGAGCAGCGCACAATATGGGAAATTGCAGCAGAGCTAAATCGGCTTCAGGAGGCAAGTGGTCGTGCGCAAGTTGCTCCAGAGGATCTGAAAGATGGAACGTTCACGCTTTCCAATGTTGGCATGGTAAGTCGTCGTGTGCTATATTGTCAAAACTCCTACTACTTACACTGCATGAGAGCGAGAATCACTCGGGAAGTAGTCCGAGTAGTAGCAAATGCCAGCAGCAACTACACGTTGATAAAGCTGTCGATGACTCCCTCTTTCGAACACTATAAAGTATATTTCGCTTTTGTGGTTGCCCTGCAGAGCTAGAGCCGTTGTGATTAAAACACAGGCATACTTACAGACATATATATATATATGTATGTGCACACACACACACACCAATAACCCATTGCCAGTATGCGTTTTTGTATTTTCATAAAATACAATAAATAGTAACGCGCACCAGACTAGCCGGTGCGATCATGCGTTTTTTGCGATTCAGCCCATCGAACGATTGCTTATTAATGATTTTCACTGCTTTGTACTTTAGTCTATGCA